TTTCATTTTTTCCAGATCCTCTTTTGTTGCCAGTTCAGGGCATCTAGGTGGTTGAGTATCAGATTGTTCCATGTCCTTTCCCTTTGGGGTTGCTGTAGGTGATCTGGAAGTCTGGTTTTGAGACTTGTTTATGTGTCTCGGGGTGTGGGTGCTGTTGGCACCCACACAGCTCACCTCTGCCCTGTGAGCGATGGTACAGCATCCCAGCAGCCCCTTCCTCTGGGCTGGGAGCAGTGGAATGGCTTTGTTACACTTTGTAATAAAGAAGGGGCTTTGGAGAATAATTGGAATTTAATAATTGGAATAATAACAATTTTGATTTCATTATACACATTTTTACTATGATTGTCCATGTGTGGCCAGTGATACTGGTTTCCCACAAGGCCAGTGATAGGAATTTTCCTTTTTAAATAAATTTAATAAAATCAAGCCAATTAAAAGTTCAGTAGATAAAAGTATAGATTTTTGACAAATATGTTAAAAATCATGAAAGTGGTCCAAGAATGGCTTTTGGGGACCCAATTTCCCCTTTCTTTACCAAGGAGGAGCCTGGCTGTGGACTGAATAGTGGAATGGGGAATCTTGTTGTTCTTTTTTGAACTCACAGTGATCCTCCTGCCTCTGCCTCCCGAGAGTTGGGAGTACAGGTACGTACCACCATGCCCAGCTGATAAATCTTGCCTGTGTCACTGTCTGTAGCTTGTGATTTGAAGAACTACCATTTGGTGCACTTTGTTTATAGGGATGCTCCACTGAACAGACTGCAGAGGGGCAATTCTCAGTTTTGGCACCATTACCATTTTAGGCAGGATGATTTTTGTTGTGGGTCTATCTAGTGCTTTGTAGGAAGTTGGGCAGCATCCCTGGCCCTTTACCCACAAGATGCCAGTTGTCCCCCTCCTCAGTTGTGACAATTGAAAATGCCTCCAGACATTGCTAGTTGTCCCCTGGTTGGGGAAGAGGGAGATGTCCCTTGGTGAGGAACCACTGCTCTATACAGAGTTATTTGTTTAAAAGTTGCATTTTCAAATCTGACACTGCTAATACTTCAGCCAGATCACCACAAGCTGTTTCTCTTTGAGGCAACCTGTGCAGGTACAGAGAACTCTTGAAGGTGACCCACACAAGCTTCTGGAAACCCAGTACATCAGACCAGGGTTTACTCAGGAAAGAGTGTAGGCTGTCTGTGGGTGCTGGCCTGGGGCGTTCTTCTTGCTGGCACAGCAGGGATATGGGACCACATGCAAGAATTCTCCATCACTCACGGATGGGTTGGCTAACCAGCTGCATTTTCACTGTTCATCTGTGAGGCTCAGGAAAAGGAGGTATTGACTGAGTGGAGCTGAGGAGGTTCTGTCCTAAAATCTGAGGAAGGTGGACAGCAGCCCAGGTTGACAGCTGAGAAAGGTTGGCTGCTTACAGAAGGGCCTAGAAGGAGAAAGGGTCACAGATAGGTATCTAGCAACAAAGCTGTCCTCTGAATGAATAAGGAGGAGGAGTCAAGGCACATGACTTGGGATGAACCAACTGCAGAAGCCTTGGGCACAAGGGGTGTATTTCTTGCCAGTGCCTGTGACCAGTTCTGCCTGGCCAGGTGCCTGCAATAAAGTCTTCCTCTTTTCCAGCTCCTGCCTTTCTCTGCCAGTCTCTATCTGTTTTCTGTGAGCATTTCAAAGTAATCTGCCTTTAAAAGCTACTGCTGCTCAGCTGGGATGTAGTTCAGTGGTAGAGCATGTGCATGTGAATCCCTAGGTTCAGTTCCCAGCACCAAAAATAAACTTCTCTTTCTCTTATATTGTTCTTTGCGTGCTCATATTTCTCCTTTGGATATCCCATATGGCAAAAGAACTTGTGGGTAGAAGAAAACAGAGCCACCTGTGTGCCCATAAGTCTTCTCAAGCCTCCTCCTGGGCCCTGTCACTAGGAAATTGCCATAATATGGCTGAGCTCAGTAAACCAGGGCAATGGAATACACTTTGGGGTTGGAGTCAAAAGATTCACATGGAAGTCCTGACTTTGTCCTGCATCTGCTGTGTGAATTTGGATGAATTTTGAAGTGTTACATCCCAAATTCCCTGTCTGAAAGTGGTGATCATGTCCCCACTTCCTGGGCAGCTGTGAAGGCTGCATGAGACGATGTTCTGTGAGCACCCTAAGAACTATGAAAACACTGGAGAAGCACATTTATTTACACCTGCTATCATTGTTCTTATTTTGCAGAAAAACCAGTAGTCTGATATATCAAGAGAATTACAATAAAATTCTTAGGCTGAACCAAAGTTGAAGAAGATGAATAACAATAATTGCAGCTACAGAAGCCACCATTAATTGAACATCTATTGTTTGCCAGTTGCTCTGCTAAGGGCCTTGCAAATGGTAAACTTTAATCTTAGAAAAGAAGAATCTGTTATGATTAGTATTTTACATATGTGGCAATGGAGGAGTTAATCATTTTACCCAAGCTCACATGGCTTAAGATTGGAAGAAGAACCCTGATTCAACCCCGGAACTGTCAAATGCTAAAGTCCCCCAAATCAGTACAGTCTCTTTCATAAGATCCACCTGAGTTACAACATTTTCCCCTCCTGAATCACAGCATGGCCTTAATTTTGATGCTAGTCCACCAAAGTTCTAAATAAACCACTAGTGTATTTAACCTTGACAAATAATTAACAGCCACTCAGAACTGAAAAAGAAAATATTTCCCAACTTAGATCTCTCTAGTTCTTCTTTATAATAAAAAGAAAAACTCCCTCAGCATCTAGGTACTTATCTGGTCATTTTGAGAAAACATACTTTCCAGCTGCAAAGTGATATTTACTAATACTAAAGGGGCATTCAATACTTACAGGTAACCCTTAAATTTGTTGAGGTGGTTGTTGGGTTTTTCACACACGATGGTGTTGTGGAAATGCTCTGGTTGGAACTGTCCCTCCTGTGAGAGAGAGAACTGTGAGGTTATTAAGTCAGAGGGATCTAGTCTTAATAGGACAATCAGAGAGCTAATCACCATTAGAACCATGGGAAGTGAGGTGATCCCTGTTTTGCCACCCTGTAGTAGTTGTAATGTGTCAGAAGAAAAGAGTAAAATCCTCAGTAAGGAGGAGAAAGTAGATACGAATGAGAAGTCATATATGGGGTGGAGAAATCTGGCTGCCCTGAACATGCTTCTCTGGCACACCTGGCTCAGAGCCCCTGGCCCCATGCGGTCCAGTAGAACTTGCTGCCATGATGGTCACGTTGTAAGTCTGCACTGTCCAGGGTCACACGAGGTTCTGAGCCCCCGAGGATGGTAGTCTGACCCAGGAATTGGTTTTTAAGCTTAATTTCAAGTTAAACAGCCCCATGTACCTAGAGGGTACTGAGCAATACAGACTCCAGAGAAAGGGATTGTAAACTGCATATCTAGAGATGGCCACATCTGATACACTTCTATATACCTTTCATATATCTTTTATTCAGGGATTAAAATCAGGGATTAAAAGATACACCCACATATATAGTTATGCATATACACATTTGTGCACTTCAAAAATGAGTTAGTGTTCTTATATCTTCAACATATTTGTTAATTTAAAAATCTTTATTAATACTTGAATAGAAACCTACTAACTATATGAATGCACCGTATTTCCTTTAACCATTTCACCATTGACTATTTATAGTGTTTCACTTTATTTTGCTATTAGAAAATTGTTGTAAAAATAGGAGCTGGTGAAACCAAATAAATCGCTCTTACTGGACTCTTATTTCTGCTTGCCCTGTGTGGAGAACTTTATGCACGGTACTTATTTTCAAAGCTGACAATTAGGCTATGCAACAGGAACTTCACTTATTCCCTCTTGAGAGCAGGAGGTATGTGATTCAGAAGGGTAGAGTAGGCTGTCTATGTCATACCAGGCCTGGGATCTGCATCTAAGTCTAACTGCAGACCTCTGTTTTTTAACTGTCCCAGCACACTGCCTCCTGGGGAAGAAATGTGTAAATAAGAATTTAAAACACGTTTTAAAAATGGTATTGCAGTTGTACAAGGTTTTATAGTACAATAGGGGCAAACTATAGAAAGGGTGAGATCTTGTTTCCTAACCCTGTTTCTCATTGGCTAATCCTATGCTCTACTCTCAAGCCTCAGTTTCTTTGTCTGTACAGTGGGGCTAACAGCACCTGACTTGCCCCTCATTTGTGCCTTGGAAGGTAGAATCAGTGTGGAAAAGCTCTGAAATGTGTCACATACTATGCAAGTAGAAGGTGGGAGTGCAAAGGTGGGTTGGAAATTGTTTCTGGAGTGAAGCCTTTAGCATGGAGAGTGAAGTTATCGCTGAGCTGCCAGGTACCCTTGTTCAAAGGGCCAAATTGATGCAAAGAAATGATAGGATTTTCTGTCTCTGTGTGAATATACTGTCCATCACACCTGTAGGGGAACCAGCCTAAACTCTTCACTCTCGAAATAAATTACCCATCCAGGAGTTTCTAAATATATGGCCCTTTCCCCTCCAGGTATCAATTCCTTCAGGGACAAACACTTGCCAAGTTCTGAGATGATGACAAATCATGCTGTAATTTGTCAGCTGCTTCCCTCCCCTGATTAAGGTGTGTGCTTCATTCCTCATCCGCACCACTCAGCTCCTGGCTGGTTTCAAAAGCCAGGCTCATTTCGGAGATGAGTGGCAGTGGGGTCTCAGAGCTAAAGGGCCTTCCGCAGTGACTCTTTGTCCCTGGAGTCCCTTCGGATCCACAGAAAAGGTGACCTGGACTCTCTTGGTGCTCTGAGGGGAGCTTTGAGTATACATCCTCCTGAAGTCCTTTCCTTCTGGGCACTGGAGGGATCCTCTGCCTGTCTTCTCTCTGCACGGAGAGGTGACCTTAGTCCTAGCTACCTAGTCCCTGGGCTTGTTCTGCCCTTTCTAAGATAGAGTGCTGAGAAAGGCACATGGGTCCTGCTGACTGCAGAAATTACCCCTCAGGTCCCTGCCTGTAAGGGGCTGTGGCAGCTCACTCCCAAGGAGCTGCCTCGATACAACCCGAGGATGGAGGAGCTACCAAGCTGCATAGAATCTGCCAGAGCCCTCATTTTAACCCTGTTCAGGAACTCTGACTCCCTTCTGAGAGGGGCAGGGCTCCCCTTACCACCCTACAGTTTTTCTTAGTATATGAATGAAGCTCAAATTATTAACTTTTCCTTTTTGACTCAGTCTCTCATCTAAGGCACTGGCCTTTGATGCAAGTTCCACTGACTATAGTCAAGGCACAGGGAGAAAATGTCACACGGAGAACAGAGAAGAGTATATGCCTCTGCCTTTCACAGGTAGGGCAGACCTACCTGTCTTGAGAACTTACTATGGACTGGACCCCTGACAGTACATTCTCACAGTGACTTTAAGAAGTTTTCACATGTGTACAAAGAGTCTGAAGAAAAGCGATTATTTCATGGTTGGTGAGTAGCAGAGCTAGGATTGCATCTCATATAAATGGAATAGAAAGCCAATCACTGTTGCCATCATTGGCATCATACCTGTATTCCTCTTCTTCTTTCTCCTATTTTCATTACTGCTGCAGCCTTAGTTGAGTGCCTAGAATATGCCATGGACCAACTACATATTTTATACATGCTACTTCCTTTAATTCTCATGATGAGCTCTGCCAGATATGTTCTGATGAAAGATTAGTGTTCAAGTGCTCCTCTTGGCCTTATTTTCATCTCTGCTCCTTTTACTTTTTATTGTTTTTGCAGTACTAATATTGAACCTACAGCCCTGTGCATGCTAGGCAAGTGTTCAACCAACTGAGCTACATCCCAAGCCTTTTATTTTTTATTTTTTTATTTTTTGGTACCGGGGATCGAATGCGGGACCTTGCGCTTTCGAGGCAGGCACTGGAATCACTGAGCTAAATGCCCAGTTCCCATTTATTTTTAAATTTTGAGACAGGATCTTTCTAAATTGCTAAGGCTAGCTTTGGTCTACTTACCTATCTTTGTACTTGATATAATGAATTCCTTCCCTAATACACAGTAGAAAATATATAAAAATTACATATTTAGTTCAATATTAACTCTTTCAAGTATATTTACATTTTAAAGGATAAGGGTAGAAGTTAAGGCATTAAACCCTTAAAAAACATTCTAAAAGTGTAAATAAGGATCAAAATGTATAATTGATATTGTGAAATAGGAAGAAAAGGTCTAAAGGGGTAGGGGAAGTGGGAGGGATAGGGGAAAGGAAAGAGGGGAAAGAAAAATGTATGAGAAAAGGAAAAAATGGAAACAAAGTCTCTGTAAATAGGGAGGGGTGGAGGGGTTGAAGGGAGGGCAGGGGAAGGGGGAAAAAATAAGAATCAAGATACATCACGTAAAGGTACAAGATCCCAGTGATGAAAGTAACTGTATTGTATACCTAAAATGTACCAATAAACTTAAAAAAAAATTCTTTCGAGGATTTTTACTTTAGCATTTAAGATTTTTTTTCTACTTCTATAAAGCCTACTCTAATCCCCATATATGTTTTTACCCCCAACAGTTAGAAATGTGGCTCCACCCCATCATGTTTATGCTTCTGTTTAACATGATGGTGTCTCAATCTGCACACTGGCTGGAAGGTTGACAGCTTCCTCAGGGGCAGCTCCCAGAAGACTTGGTTTAATAGGTGCACCATAAAGATTTGTGGAGGTGAGGTTAGTACTGGAGAGGGTAGTTCTAGGAAGGTGTATATTTAATGATGATGGATGAGGAGATACAATGCAGCAATCACTGTAAACACTGATCTACAAAATTAAAGGAAATCTCAGTTGTAATCTTAACTTTGATTTGTAGGAATGAAGTCACTTTTTTCTGGGCATTCTTTGGCTCAACTAACAAAAAATATCTTCAATGCCCTGGATCCCAACTTGGGCTAGCCTAGTCTCCCTTTCATTTGTTTATGAATTTAAGCATTTATTGAATACTCATGATATATGGGCCATGGGGGAAGTAAGACAAAATCAGAAAGAAGAGAGAGGCTATGGCTCAAACTAATTCCTGCAGCCATAAAACAACTCAAGGTTCGCAGTCTCGCTCAGGTGTGTCAGTGGCATGCCTTTGAAACCAAAGAAAGCGGGCCAAGGGCTGGGTATAACTACTCCCTGGGGTGGAGGCCCTTTGCAGACCTATGTCCCAGATAGAGCAACCTCGCTGCTGCCTAGGGCCACTGGAAAGGCACGAATGAAGCAATCAGTCTGAAATACATTTTAGTAGCTGGAACACACCTATTTCTTTTGCATGTGCCCCAAGCTTTATTTACCATTATTTTTTCTCAACTGGATATCAAGTTGATCAAAAAATGTGGTTAAGTAAACCCATGTGCAATCCTTAGAAATTGTTCCTGCTGGATCTTTGTTTTCTGTCTACCCACCTTCCTTTGCTCCTTTTTTACATAACAACCCTTTGACTTCCTTTTGGGAAATTACCTTATCTTCCTGGTTCCTAATCTCGATTGCACTATAAGTCTAGATGCCCTGCCCCCTAGACTCTTCCACTATGAGACTTTGAATTGGGTGTAATGCTCAAGGAAGGCAAAGGAAAATACGAGACCATCAAGCAATTCCTGCTATCGATACTCCACTACCCTGAAGTTTTTTTTCTGATTCTTATTTTTTCTGAGCATGGATCTTCAGATTATTTTTTATTCTGTGTGTCAGATCATATGCTTCTCCCTTCTATTACTTCCCCAGGACATTCTTGCAATAACTCTGTTTTGTTTCTATTAAAATCATCTGTTACTTGCAAAAGAGTCCTATCCAACAGGACAGCCTGCTCAGTCTCATTGGCATATTAAATAACTTCCGGGCCTTAAAAATAATATTATTTGCTAAAGTTATAATTTACAAAATGGAGCCCCTTATTTACCTTCTATTATTTGATTTTCCCAAATCACCTATGAAGTATTTGAGACAGGCTAGGCC